TACGGGTTCCTACGGCGACTGCCGCCACCGGCGACTGCCGCCAAAAAAAAAAAAAATACAGGTTCCTAGACTCCATCTAAAACCAATTAAATTCACATTTCTAAGAATCAGCATTATTAACATGTTCCCAGTGTGATCCTTATGCACACTAAATGTGGAGAACCTGTGTTTTGAAAGAGAAATTCCAGAAAAATTATGTGTGATAGTAGCCTTGTTGGAATGCATATATAACTTCCAGCAGTGAATACTTTATTAACAAGTACAGCCCTACTCATTTGGATGTATAATTTCTATATGTTTATTTAGAAAGAAAAAAAAAAGCACATTGTTCCAGTAGTATCATATCATGTGTTGGGCGACAGGGTGTGATATGATTTAGAGGAGGTTAGGTGTATGCATTTAGCACAATTTTAATGTCTTTACTCTTTATAGCTGTATTTAGAGTGGACTTTATCTTGGTATGCTACATGTAGCTCCACTAGAGGTCTGTACTAAGATTTCTGTACAATGATCTTTGATCTGTAAGGAAATACATAGGATTTATATTAGAAGGACATCTGGCTCAGGGTGAATTATAGTAGTATAAAGTCTGGATAATCACCAGTGCTTCAAGAATTGTATCTTATGTACATTGATTCAGATAAAGGAGGACTCTTTAAAAAGTAGAAAGAACTCCTTAAACAAGATCATGGATGAGTTGCAGTCACAATTTCATCAACTTTTTTTCTTTTGGTCAAATACTTTTTCTGTGATTTTTTTTTTTCTGTGATGTTTGTAATGCATGAATGCAGTTGAATTTCTAAGGAGATATCTTCAGACTGAATTCACTTGCACTATAGAAAGAAAGCAAAAATAAAGTATTCAATGTTTATTAAACCATATTCTTCTGCTTCTTCGTGAAGAGAACCTAAGAGGAAATACAATATGTATGCATCAGCTGACAGGTTAGCAATACTGGTGGACAGATACTCAGAACTAAGTTTCCCAACAGAATCCTGAAGGGCTCGTCCAATTAGCCTGTTTCAGGGAAAACTAGTATTTTTGATCTGTGGAGTTCAGCTCTTGCTATTATGTAATTTCCCTTTGCATATTTTAAATCATCATCATTGAATGTATTTGGTAAAAGACCAGATATAGTGTAGAACATTTGAGAAGTTACGTGGTGTAAAGATACGACTCGTAGGCTGGGAATAAAGACCTGGATTGCAGGTCCAGCTTTGCTACTGCTTTTCTGGGTGGCGCTATGCAAGCCACTGTCCCTCACAGTGGGTCTCATTTTCTTCATCTGTAAAATAATGATCTCTAAGCCCTGTTCCAGACTAACATTCTGTGACTCTAAGCAGTCTGTTCTTGTCTTTCTTTAGCTTTCTGCAACAACTCTAGAATTGTGTAACTTAACAGTATGCAGAGGCATAGCAATATTGTCAGACAGTGTAACTAATAGATTTAAGATTTAGAACACGCATACATATTCACCATTCCTTCCTTCCACATTCGTTTCTTCATCCAGGTATTGAGCTCCTGCTATATCTACTAGATAGGCAGTGGGGATATAGTAATGACGGACACTCCATTCTTGATTCTAATGGAGTTTTGCATTTGGTGAGGGGTGGGGCATTAAGTACAGAAAACAGAAGGAAAACTAAATATATAATTTGTCAGGCAGTGGTAAGTCCTAAGGGAAAAAATGAAGTGGAGTAGTCCCTTCTGATAAAACAACCTTTGAGCAGAGACTGGAATGGTGTGAGGGGGCCATCAGGCAACAGCAGATACAAAGGTGCTAAGCTGGAGTGTGTTTGGCATGTTTAAGGAAAGCAGAGAGACCCAGGTGACTAGAGTGGAGTTAGAAAGGGAAAAATGGGAAAAAATACAGTCAGAGAGGTCGCCAGGGGCCAGATCATATGCAGCCTTGTAGGCCATGGTAAGGACTTTAGATGTTACTCTGAGAGTAAATGATTTGAGTTATATTTTCAGAGGATGATGGGGTGCTCTGTGGAGCACAGAATATAGAGGGGCAATCATGGAAACAGGGAGATCAGTTAAGATAGGTAGGTAGGTATATGAGTAGATGGATAGGTAGATGCTTAATAAATAGCACATGTTTATATTGTATTGACATATATGTCTGCCAGTATTTTGCTGGGTGCTAGGGTTATAAAGAGTAATAAAAAGAGACTGTCATTTAGGGAGTGAGATTGCCATTGATGTATTTGGGTTTCGTTGATCATGTTCATTTATCCTGGAGGTAAACTATTGAACGGTCTTCAGAAGACTGGAGAAAACAGACTCATTGACACTGTAAGACTGAGGAGGATTAAGGTGTAAGGAACAGTGTGAAAAAGTGTCATCATTGAGTGTGAGACACCTGAATGCCAGAAGGAGCGTGTTGGCTCATGTAGTAAAGTGGAGAGTAGAAAAGGACCACTGGTCAGGAGTGAGGGCCAAGAAGGGTTAGGTGTTTCCCTGCTCACTGCATTTTAAAATGGTTGTTGAGGAGCCAGATGTTAGATCAGAAGGGGGAGGAGATAGCCTTCGAGGATGTAAAGTGCAGTCTGATTATGATCATCAGAAAGGGTTGTTGAGCACCTCTTTGTGTATGATGCTTAACTAAATGCTTTTGAAAGGGACTATGTGATTGTAATTTCTGTATTCTGGGAGCTTATGATCCACCAGACAGGCAAGTGAGAACAGATGACCAAACACAGGTGGTGGAGTAGGTCTTTGGAGAGGAGAGGAAGGCCCTGGAATGTGTTATATGCCAGATTCATTTGGGGTACAAGGCAACAAAAAATATGTGATAGGGAATGGGAGTCGGAGGTTTTGAGTCCATAGATAAGAAATTGTGTATGATTCAATAATGAAGAGAACCCCAAGGTTCGTTTTTTTTAGGAGCAGATGTGATGAGAACATTACTTGAAGAGAGTGGGAAGTTGGTCCAAAAAAGCACTGAAGAGCCAGTTTCTTCTTTGTTTTCACCACAGTGTTCTTGGAACAGATGTGGTAAATCCTGTTTAAAATCACTGTAGATTGAGAGAAGTGTGAATCTCAATAGCATTTTAAAATTCTGAGTAACAAATTGTGTTCTGAAACATAGTCACCATCTCCAAAGAAGAATTGCTTCTCTTCTGTTTATCCGCAGTTTTAAAAGTGAAAGGTTCCCTTTCTAGGTACACACTCCGAAGGGTAGAAACTTTCATTCATTCAGTAATTACTATTTAAGCACTTACCACGTGCCAAGGCTTGGAGAGTGGAGCACACACAGCTGAGAAAAGACTGCCTCTGATAGAGAAGACAGACACCTAAAGCCCAGCGCAGTGTGATAGTGTTGTTAGTAGAGATGTTTATGAAGTACTCTCAGCCACAAAGGCTGGGAGGGTGGCAGGTTTCTCAAAGGAGTTGACAGTTGAGCTGGGTTGTCTTGAAGGGAGTTGCCCCTGGGAGAAAGAAAGAAAAGATGGAGGAGCCCCTCCCACTCCCCAGCACACTCTAAGGTGGATCTTTGTAAACCCTTCAGGAGAGAGCAAATGTCTAGGTATGCAAGGTCTACCTATTTGTGCGGCTACCTTCCTCAAAGCGTTTTGAGTCAATCAGTTTATTCCCCTAGGGTACCGGGTGGTAAAAAACAAATGGGATAAAAATATAGGAAACCAAGCAAAGGAAGTTTCCTGAAATTACACAAGAATCAAATAGAGACAAAATGGGAACCAGAGTTTTCTATCCCTTCTCCCTCTACCTAGCACTCCCCCCACCAAATTCCATAAATTCCATAAAATCCCTGAGGTTTGGTGATGCAAGAGTTAGAAGGCTGCCTTCCTTGCTTTAAACTCCTAAAATACAAGGTTCACCCTTGCTCGCCTTCTTCATACTGCCCCTTCCCTTGTTAATGTGCTGTCACAGTCCCCACGGGGACTCATAACAAGGCCTGTCGCC